TCTCTCTGGAAGCTCTGCAGTGGTTCTCGGTGGGACCTGGTTTTGAAGCAGTATGTTCATGGCATGCCATTGGGTCTGTGGTCCTCCAGGCACGGGTAAGCCCTTGAACAACTAAGGTGTCAGGGAGTCATCCAATCCTCCTCAAACAGCCTGCGATCCTAAGTTTTCTCTTTACCTTCTGGTCAGCACAAGCCATACAAATGTTGTTACACTTAGATTGCTGCCTAAAGAGTTTGTAGCACTCATCATTAAAAGCCCATTGCACTCAGTGAGAAGTAGTTGTAAGACAGTTGTTAAGCTGCAAAAAAAATGTTCCAAAACTAACGCTAACCCAAAGTGTTTTGAAAGCATTGATTTCGGTATTGAAAAAAAGGAAGCTACAGGGCAATCATTACTGAAACAACACCATGCCCAATGGAACGCCACACTGCTCTGTGAAGTGGGATCACTGTATTCAAAGTCCAGAGTGTTACACAATACTTAACGGAACAGGTTTAAACATGACTTCAAGTGTTGCTTTTAGCAGAAGAGAACAACAGAACTGCTTTCAGTTGAATAACAGACCATAATCACAAAGTCTCACAAGTCAACAGCATTTGCTTTACTCGTCCCTGGGTGGCTTGAACCACCAACCTCTCGGTTAACAGCCGAGCGCTGGCCGATTGCGCCACAGAGACATGCTCCTCAGTTCTGCTTGTCGTTTGCAACTTGAGACATGCTGTGTACTCTGAGGCCAACATCGGTTACATGATTTCTTTAAAAAAAACAGCTTTTGTGATGAAATCAATGTGTCCCCTCCAATCAGACTGATCCACAGTTGAGTGGAATTCTATCACACCTACTTGTAACAACGGATCACTTTTCAACGTACTGTGGAAGGGGTTGCGTTGGGTGGTTTGACCCTGTCTAGGAAAGGTGTTTTTAGGGGACAAGTAATAAAAGTCCTGCTCCCAGGTATGAACATTTGAAAGCTTTTATAGACGAGTGAATGTGTGAAGGCACTGCTGGGAGTTGAACCCAGGATCTCCTGTTTACAAGACAGGCGCTTTCTCCAACTAAGCTACAGCGCCCATTGGAAGTGTACAGTTTGGGGCAACTGCTGCAAATATCTCTGCATCAAGCCTTCCAAAGTGTCTGAGGTGGGTTGCCACATTGTATTTCCATTGCCTTTTGCCCGAAGCTGCTGTCGGTACTTAGGACATTGGCACCAACTATAAGGAAATGCAAAAGAGGCACTGCTGGGATTTGAACCCAGGATCTCCTGTTTACTAGACAGGCACTTTGACCAACTAAGCCACAGCGCCATCAATTGATTTGCTTTGAGAATGTTTCATATTAAGTGTGTAACTGAATCGAATCAGCTTGTTAACATCTTTACTCCCCTGTGCTGGAAAGATGCCAGTGTTGAAGGTTGGCTAGCAGACCAAGATGACAATCTCTCACAAGTCATTTGATCACCCAGTTTTCACAGCCCCTCAGCATTCATGTTTGTTGGTCCAATTTTGGAACAGATAGAAAAGTGCCACAATAACCCTGAGCCATCCCGCAAGTATAAACATATTTTGTGTCTTACAATTGTTTGCTATTCTATATCTGACAGAGTTGTGCTTTTCCTTGCAACTGTTGTCTGTACCATGATACAGGGAATGTCTATTTAGCAAGTTGTTGCATGTCAGGTGGACAAGAATATGCAGTGCTAGAAGTACGGCTGCAGCAGTGATTCTCTATGTTCAGACACATTCAAGGGTATTTCTGGCCTCTGACCAGCCTGGAGACCCTAGCTTTGTGCAACTGTGCATTGCTCTGGTCAAGCAATTGACAAAGTGTTCTTGGACTGGCCAGTGCTTTGTTCTTTTAACTGACCACATGTTTAAGCCAGCTGGCAAAGGTTGCTTTCTCATATTATCCTCTGTGGCAACGGTATTTCTTCATGCCATCTCTTTCCAAATCCCTGCACTTTAATGTCCACACATGGTGCTGCCATGTAAGAAATTGTTTCACTGCTCTCTCTGGAAGCTCTGCAGTGGTTCTCGGTGGGACCTGGTTTTGAAGCAGTATGTTCATGGCATGCCATTGGGTCTGTGGTCCTCCAGGCACGGGTAAGCCCTTGAACAACTAAGGTGTCAGGGAGTCATCCAATCCTCCTCAAACAGCCTGCGATCCTAAGTTTTCTCTTTACCTTCTGGTCAGCACAAGCCATACAAATGTTGTTACACTTAGATTGCTGCCTAAAGAGTTTGTAGCACTCATCATTAAAAGCCCATTGCACTCAGTGAGAAGTAGTTGTAAGACAGTTGTTAAGCTGCAAAAAAAATGTTCCAAAACTAACGCTAACCCAAAGTGTTTTGAAAGCATTGATTTCGGTATTGAAAAAAAGGAAGCTACAGGGCAATCATTACTGAAACAACACCATGCCCAATGGAACGCCACACTGCTCTGTGAAGTGGGATCACTGTATTCAAAGTCCAGAGTGTTACACAATACTTAACGGAACAGGTTTAAACATGACTTCAAGTGTTGCTTTTAGCAGAAGAGAACAACAGAACTGCTTTCAGTTGAATAACAGACCATAATCACAAAGTCTCACAAGTCAACAGCATTTGCTTTACTCGTCCCTGGGTGGCTTGAACCACCAACCTCTCGGTTAACAGCCGAGCGCGCTGGCCGATTGCGCCACAGAGACATGCTCCTCAGTTCTGCTTGTCGTTTGCAACTTGAGACATGCTGTGTACTCTGAGGCCAACATCGGTTACATGATTTCTTTAAAAAAAACAGCTTTTGTGATGAAATCAATGTGTCCCCTCCAATCAGACTGATCCACAGTTGAGTGGAATTCTATCACACCTACTTGTAACAACGGATCACTTTTCAACGTACTGTGGAAGGGGTTGCGTTGGGTGGTTTGACCCTGTCTAGGAAAGGTGTTTTTAGGGGACAAGTAATAAAAGTCCTGCTCCCAGGTATGAACATTTGAAAGCTTTTATAGACGAGTGAATGTGTGAAGGCACTGCTGGGAGTTGAACCCAGGATCTCCTGTTTACAAGACAGGCGCTTTCTCCAACTAAGCTACAGCGCCCATTGGAAGTGTACAGTTTGGGGCAACTGCTGCAAATATCTCTGCATCAAGCCTTCCAAAGTGTCTGAGGTGGGTTGCCACATTGTATTTCCATTGCCTTTTGCCCGAAGCTGCTGTCGGTACTTAGGACATTGGCACCAACTATAAGGAAATGCAAAAGAGGCACTGCTGGGATTTGAACCCAGGATCTCCTGTTTACTAGACAGGCACTTTGACCAACTAAGCCACAGCGCCATCAATTGATTTGCTTTGAGAATGTTTCATATTAAGTGTGTAACTGAATCGAATCAGCTTGTTAACATCTTTACTCCCCTGTGCTGGAAAGATGCCAGTGTTGAAGGTTGGCTAGCAGACCAAGATGACAATCTCTCACAAGTCATTTGATCACCCAGTTTTCACAGCCCCTCAGCATTCATGTTTGTTGGTCCAATTTTGGAACAGATAGAAAAGTGCCACAATAACCCTGAGCCATCCCGCAAGTATAAACATATTTTGTGTCTTACAATTGTTTGCTATTCTATATCTGACAGAGTTGTGCTTTTCCTTGCAACTGTTGTCTGTACCATGATACAGGGAATGTCTATTTAGCAAGTTGTTGCATGTCAGGTGGACAAGAATATGCAGTGCTAGAAGTACGGCTGCAGCAGTGATTCTCTATGTTCAGACACATTCAAGGGTATTTCTGGCCTCTGACCAGCCTGGAGACCCTAGCTTTGTGCAACTGTGCATTGCTCTGGTCAAGCAATTGACAAAGTGTTCTTGGACTGGCCAGTGCTTTGTTCTTTAACTGACCACATGTTTAAGCCAGCTGGCAAAGGTTGCTTTCTCATATTATCCTCTGTGGCAACGGTATTTCTTCATGCCATCTCTTTCCAAATCCCTGCACTTTAATGTCCACACATGGTGCTGCCATGTAAGAAATTGTTTCACTGCTCTCTCTGGAAGCTCTGCAGTGGTTCTCGGTGGGACCTGGTTTTGAAGCAGTATGTTCATGGCATGCCATTGGGTCTGTGGTCCTCCAGGCACGGGTAAGCCCTTGAACAACTAAGGTGTCAGGGAGTCATCCAATCCTCCTCAAACAGCCTGCGATCCTAAGTTTTCTCTTTACCTTCTGGTCAGCACAAGCCATACAAATGTTGTTACACTTAGATTGCTGCCTAAAGAGTTTGTAGCACTCATCATTAAAAGCCCATTGCACTCAGTGAGAAGTAGTTGTAAGACAGTTGTTAAGCTGCAAAAAAAATGTTCCAAAACTAACGCTAACCCAAAGTGTTTTGAAAGCATTGATTTCGGTATTGAAAAAAAGGAAGCTACAGGGCAATCATTACTGAAACAACACCATGCCCAATGGAACGCCACACTGCTCTGTGAAGTGGGATCACTGTATTCAAAGTCCAGAGTGTTACACAATACTTAACGGAACAGGTTTAAACATGACTTCAAGTGTTGCTTTTAGCAGAAGAGAACGACAGAACTGCTTTCAGTTGAATAACAGACCATAATCACAAAGTCTCACAAGTCAACAGCATTTGCTTTACTCGTCCCTGGTGGCTTGAACCACCAACCTCTCGGTTAACAGCGAGCGCGCTGGCCGATTGCGCCACAGAGACATGCTCCTCAGTTCTGCTTGTCGTTTGCAACTTGAGACATGCTGTGTACTCTGAGGCCAACATCGGTTACATGATTTCTTTAAAAAAAAACAGCTTTTGTGATGAAATCAATGTGTCCCCTCCAATCAGACTGATCCACAGTTGAGTGGAATTCTATCACACCTACTTGTAACAACGGATCACTTTTCAACGTACTGTGGAAGGGGTTGCGTTGGGTGGTTTGACCCTGTCTAGGAAAGTTTTTAGGGGACAAGTAATAAAAGTCCTGCTCCCAGGTATGAACATTTGAAAGCTTTTATAGACGAGTGAATGTGTGAAGGCACTGGGAGTTGAACCCAGGATCTCCTGTTTACAAGACAGGCGCTTTCTCCAACTAAGCTACAGCGCCCATTGGAAGTACAGTTTGGGGCAACTGCTGCAAATATCTCTGCATCAAGCCTTCCAAAGTGTCTGAGGTGGGTTGCCACATTGTATTTCCATTGCCTTTTGCCCGAAGCTGCTGTCGGTACTTAGGACATTGGCACCAACTATAAGGAAATGCAAAAGAGGCACTGCTGGGATTTGAACCCAGGATCTCCTGTTTACTAGACAGGCACTTTGACCAACTAAGCCACAGCGCCATCAATTGATTTGCTTTGAGAATGTTTCATATTAAGTGTGTAACTGAATCGAATCAGCTTGTTAACATCTTTACTCCCTGTGCTGGAAAGATGCCAGTGTTGAAGGTTGGCTAGCAGACCAAGATGACAATCTCTCACAAGTCATTTGATCACCCAGTTTTCACAGCCCCTCAGCATTCATGTTTGTTGGTCCAATTTTGGAACAGATAGAAAAGTGCCACAATAACCCTGAGCCATCCCGCAAGTATAAACATATTTTGTGTCTTACAATTGTTTGCTATTCTATATCTGACAGAGTTGTGCTTTCCTTGCAACTGTTGTCTGTACCATGATACAGGGAATGTCTATTTAGCAAGTTGTTGCATGTCAGGTGGACAAGAATATGCAGTGCTAGAAGTACGGCTGCAGCAGTGATTCTCTATGTTCAGACACATTCAAGGGTATTTCTGGCCTCTGACCAGCCTGGAGACCCTAGCTTTGTGCAACTGTGCATTGCTCTGGTCAAGCAATTGACAAAGTGTTCTTGGACTGGCCAGTGCTTTGTTCTTTTAACCCACATGTTTAAGCCAGCTGGCAAAGGTTGCTTTCTCATATTATCCTCTGTGGCAACGGTATTTCTTCATGCCATCTCTTTCCAAATCCCTGCACTTTAATGCCACACATGGTGCTGCCATGTAAGAAATTGTTTCACTGCTCTCTCTGGAAGCTCTGCAGTGGTTCTCGGTGGGACCTGGTTTTGAAGCAGTATGTTCATGGCATGCCATTGGGTCTGTGGTCCTCCAGGCACGGTAAGCCTTGAACAACTAAGGTGTCAGGGAGTCATCCAATCCTCCTCAAACAGCCTGCGATCCTAAGTTTTCTCTTACCTTCTGGTCAGCACAAGCCATACAAATGTTTACACTTAGATTGCTGCCTAAAGAGTTTGTAGCACTCATCATTAAAAGCCCATTGCACTCAGTGAGAAGTAGTTGTAAGACAGTTGTTAAGCTGCAAAAAAAATGTTCCAAAACTAACGCTAACCCAAAGTGTTTTGAAAGCATTGATTTCGGTATTGAAAAAAAGGAAGCTACAGGGCAATCATTACTGAAACAACACCATGCCCAATGGAACGCCACACTGCTCTGTGAAGTGGGATCACTGTATTCAAAGTCCAGATGTTACACAATACTTAACGGAACAGGTTTAAACATGACTTCAGTGTTGCTTTTAGCAGAAGAGAACGACAGAACTGCTTTCAGTTGAATAACAGACCATAATCACAAGTCTCACAAGTCAACAGCATTTGCTTTATCGTCCCTGGGTGGGCTTGAACCACCAACCTCTCGGTTAACAAGCCGAGCGCTGGCCGATTGCGCCACAGAGACATGCTCCTCAGTTCTGCTTGTCGTTTGCAACTTGAGACATGCTGTGTACTCTGAGGCCAACATCGGTTACATGATTTCTTTAAAAAAAAAAGCTTTTGTGATGAAATCAATGTGTCCCCTCCAATCAGACTGATCCACAGTGAGTGAATTCTATCACACCTACTTGTAACAACGGATCACTTTTCAACGTACTGTGGAAGGGGTTGCGTGGGTGGTTTGACCCTGTCTAGGAAAGTGTTTTTAGGGGACAAGTAATAAAAGTCCTGCTCCCAGGTATGAACATTTGAAAGCTTTATAGACGAGTGAATGTGTGAAGGCACTGCTGGGAGTTGAACCCAGGATCTCCTGTTTACAAGACAGGCGCTTTCTCCAACTAAGCTACAGCGCCCATTGGAAGTGTACAGTTTGGGGCAACTGCTGCAAATATCTCTGCATCAAGCCTTCCAAAGTGTCTGAGGTGGGTTGCCACATTGTATTTCCATTGCCTTTTGCCCGAAGCTGCTGTCGTACTTAGGACATTGGCACCAACTATAAGGAAATGCAAAAAGGCACTGCTGGGATTTGAACCCAGGATCTCCTGTTTACTAGACAGGCACTTTGACCAACTAAGCCACAGCGCCATCAATTGATTTGCTTTTGAGAATGTTTCATATTAAGTGTGTAACTGAATCGAATCAGCTTGTTAACATCTTTACTCCCCTGTGCTGGAAAGATGCCAGTGTTGAAGGTTGGCTAGCAGACCAAGATGACAATCTCTCACAAGTCATTTGATCACCCATTTTCACAGCCCCTCAGCATTCATGTTTGTTGGTCCAATTTTGGAACAGATAGAAAAGTGCCACAATAACCCTGAGCCATCCCGCAAGTATAAACATATTTTGTGTCTTACAATTGTTTGCTATTCTATATCTGACAGAGTTGTGCTTTCCTTGCAACTGTTGTCTGTACCATGATACAGGGAATGTCTATTTAGCAAGTTGTTGCATGTCAGCGTGGACAAGAATATGCAGTGCTTAGAAGTACCTGCAGCAGTGATTCTCTATGTTCAGACACATTCAAGGGTATTTCTGGCCTCTGACCCAGCCTGAGACCCTAGCTTTGTGCAAACTGTGCATTGCTCTGGTCAAGCAATTGACAAAGTGTTCTTGGACTGGCCAGTGCTTTGTTCTTTTAACTGACCACATGTTTAAGCCAGCTGGCAAAGGTTGCTTTCTCATATTATCCTCTGTGGCAACGGTATTTCTTCATGCCATCTCTTTCCAAATCCTGCACTTTAATGTCCACACATGGTGCTGCCATGTAAGAAATTGTTTCACTGCTCTCTCTGGAAGCTCTGCAGTGGTTCTCGGTGGGACCTGGTTTTGAAGCAGTATGTTCATGGCATGCCATTGGTCTGTGGTCCTCCAGGCACGGGTAAGCCCTTGAACAACTAAGGTGTCAGGGAGTCATCCAATCCTCCTCAAACAGCCTGCGATCCTAAGTTTTCTCTTTACCTTCTGGTCAGCACAAGCCATACAAATGTTGTTACACTTAGATTGCTGCTAAAGAGTTTGTAGCTCATCATTAAAAGCCCATTGCACTCAGTGAGAAGTAGTTGTAAGACAGTTGTTAAGCTGCAAAAAAATGTTCCAAAACTAACGCTAACCCAAAGTGTTTGAAAGCATTGATTTGGTATTGAAAAAAGGAAGCTACAGGGCAATCATTACTGAAACAACACCATGCCAATGGAACGCCACACTGCTCTGTGAAGTGGGATCACTGTATTCAAAGTCCAGAGTGTTACACAATACTTAACGGAACAGGTTTAAACATGACTTCAAGTGTTGCTTTTAGCAGAAGAGAACAACAGAACTGCTTTCAGTTGAATAACAGACCAAATCACAAAGTCTCACAAGTCAACAGCATTTGCTTTACTCGTCCCTGGGTGGGCTTGAACCACCAACCTCCGGTTAACAGCCGAGCGCTGGCCGATTGCGCCACAGAGACATGCTCTCAGTTCTGCTTGTCGTTTGCAACTTGAGACATGCTGTGTACTCTGAGGCCAACATCGGTTACATGATTCTTTAAAAAAAACAGCTTTTGTGATGAAATCAATGTGTCCCCTCCAATCAGACTGATCCAAGTTGAGTGGAATTCTATCACACCTACTTGTAACAACGGATCACTTTTCAACGTACTGTGGAAGGGGTTGCGTTGGGTGGTTTGACCCTGTCTAGGAAAGGTGTTTTTAGGGGAGAAGTAATAAAAGTCTGCTCCCAGGTATGAACATTTGAAAGCTTTATAGACGAGTGAATGTGTGAAGGCACTGCTGGGAGTTGAACCCAGGATCTCCTGTTTACAAGACAGGCCTTTCTCCAACTAAGCTACAGCGCCCATTGGAAGTCGTAAGTTTGGGGCAACTGCTGCAAATATCTCTGCATCAAGCCTTCCAAAGTGTCTGAGGTGGGTTGCCACATTGTATTTCCATTGCCTTTTGCCCGAAGCTGCTGTCGGTACTTAGGACATTGCACCAACTATAAGGAAATGCAAAAGAGGCACTGCTGGGATTTGAACCCAGGATCTCCTGTTTACTAGACAGGCACTTTGACCAACTAAGCCACAGCCCATCAATTGATTTGCTTTGAGAATGTTCATATTAAGTGTGTAACTGAATCGAATCAGCTTGTTAACATCTTTACTCCCTGTGCTGGAAAGATGCCAGTGTTGAAGTTGGCTAGCAGACCAAGATGACAATCTCTCACAAGTCATTTGATCACCCAGTTTTCACAGCCTCAGCATTCATGTTTGTTGGTCCAATTTTGGAACAGATAGAAAAGTGCCACAATAACCCTGAGCCATCCCGCAAGTATAAACATATTTTGTGTCTTACAATTGTTTGCTATTCTATATCTGACAGAGTTGTGCTTTTCCTTGCAACTGTTGTCTGTACCATGATACAGGGAATGTCTATTTAGCAAGTTGTTGCATGTCAGGTGGACAAGAATATGCAGTGCTAGAAGTACGGCTGCAGCAGTGATTCTCTATGTTCAGACACATTCAAGGGTATTTCTGGCCTCTGACCAGCCTGGAGACCCTAGCTTTGTGCACTGTGCATTGCTCTGGTCAAGCAATTGACAAAGTGTTCTTGGACTGGCCAGTGCTTTGTTCTTTAACTGACCAATGTTTAAGCCAGCTGGCAAAGGTTGCTTTCTCATATTATCCTCTGTGGCAACGGTATTTCTTCATGCCATCTTTTCCAAATCCCTGCACTTTAATGTCACACATGGTGCTGCCATGTAAGAAATTGTTTCACTGCTCTCTCTGGAAGCTCTGCAGTGGTTCTCGTGGGACCTGGTTTTGAAGCAGTATGTTCATGGCATGCCATTGGGTCTGTGGTCCTCCAGGCACGGGTAAGCCCTTGAACA